AAAAAGATTTAAAAGAAAGAGGAAAAGAAGCTAGTAAGACAGCTAAAACAAGTTATGAAAAGGCATCTCAAACTGAAGAATGGAAACAAGCCAAAGAACAAACAAAAACAATTTCTAAAGAAGTCTATGAAAGTGAACAGTTCCAAGTAGCTAAGAAAGAAGGAGAAAAGAAAACTGCTCAACGTATGACTGGAAGAGAAGACGCTGAATTTGATCCTAGTGTCACAATGCAAACATCTGTTAAACCAACTATTGTTACTGATGAAAATGGAAAAAAGAAATTTGGAGTTGGAGTTACTGTAAAACCTAAATTTGCAATGGATGGTGATGAAATTAACACTAACGCACCTGCTATGACTGTTAACAGTACTGTTGATCCTAAACTAAAGAAGAATGAAGATGGTACTACTGGTGTAGATTGGGGAATGAAATCACAAAAACCAGTTGTGTCAAAAGAAGCACCAAAAAGCGAGGGACCAGAGTTTTCGTTTGATACTAAAATGAAACCTAAAGTCGAATATGATGAGTTTGGACAACCTAAAATGAAAATAGATACACAAACTGGTAACTATGGTGCATCTTGTAAAGGACATTCTATCAATGAACAGCAAGTTAAAGAAATTACAAAATAAACCAATATAAGTTGTTCTTATAATCATCAACTTTAATTTAATTCATTTAATTGAAGGAATTCTTGTTGGATTTTATCCAACTTACCTGATTTAAATAATTCATTCATCTTCTTCATATAGCCCAATGATAAATCATCATAATATCCTTTTTCTCCCTCTTTAAATGTCCAAGATAAATGTCCACCAGTTTTTGTTGCCAATGGAGTATAAAATGGTGAAACAGATGCAATAGTTCTTGATCGTTCAAATAAAGCAGGTGTCATAATAGCAACAGGGTCATCTGCTGAATTAAGAGATATACATGGAATATAACATTTAGGAAGAAAGTGATGCATTTGTTCTACGTCATAATAATAATTTGCAGGGCAACCATAATTGAAAGCTTTTGAAGTAAAACCATCATCAAATTGTTTCATTGATTTTGACATATAAATTTTTGGAACATCACCAACCATTTTTCCTTTCTTAATTTCTTCTAAAAAAGCATTTTGATTCTTTTTAACTAATTTTAATTCAAATGAAGAAAATGTTTCATCTAATGCAGGGCATAATGACAACATCATAGATATAAGATATGGTGATGGTGAAATGGCAACACAACATACAATATTTCTTTCTTTACAAAATTTAGAATGTCTACTAATCAATCCTAATATTGTATTTGCTCCCAATGAATACCCCATTAAATCTATTGGTGCTGTTGGGTATTTTTGATGAATAATGTTAATTGCTTGAATAGGGTCATCAAATAAGCACGAATGATATGCTTTAGGTACTTTTAATGTAGTTCCTGCACACCCTCTATTAGTTAATACACAACATCTATAACCTTCTTTCATTGCGTAAAATGAATTTCGTTGAATATATGGTTCTCTGCAACCACCAGCAAGCCCATGGAAGATAAGTAATATAGGTGCATCTTCAGGTAAATTTTCTTGGTTCTGTCCCCAGTCCATAGCAAATTCACCCCCATCAGGGGCATTAACCATTGTTCTATCAAACTCAATAATTGGGGATTTAAAACGAACTGCACCTCCTATAATTGTTTGAAGAATTCCTCCTGAAATCCAAAATGGAAGGGTGTATGGTTTTAAGTATGGTTTTAGTGCTTCTTCTGTTTCTTTGTGAATTGGAGAGTCAAAACCACTTGCAAGATTTCTTGGAGTTTCAGTTATAGTAAGTGGGAATGAAATATATAAACAAAGGAACACAAGAAAGGCAATAAGGTGGAGCGTAATTAGTGACATAACTGTAAGTAACATTAATATAATTTGAATGTATTCAATATAATTTCTTTTTGTGTACAGTAAATATCTTTTAAACAACACAAATAATGTGAATATTACACAAATTGGCATTGGAGCTCCCATATCACAGTAATATTCTAATAAATTAGTTAAGTTTCTTGTAGGATTTTTATTATAACAGTATTATAACTTTTTTAATGAAACAAAAATTACTTAATAAAATTAATTTCGTTATTTATCCTTATTTATTTTATTAATGTGTTATCAATTAAAATAACATTTTTCTTTATTAAAAAGTTAAGAAGAAATTTTAATGCTATACACTTGAAAAAATATTTAACAATAGATGAACAATAACAAAATAGAATGTCTTGAAAGTTTTTTGTCTTTATATATTAAAAAATAAGATAGAACACTTCAAAATTTAGTTTTTATATTATATCAATAAAAAAGTTATAAATTATATTAAACTAGACTTTGGTTTTTTATTTGTTTAATATATAATACAGAGTTTTCCAACACTATTACTAACTTTTTATTATTCATTTTTAGAAATATTGTTAAAATTTAATTAAATATTGTTATCTAGAATATATAAAATATAACAAAATATAAAACACATCTAGTTGTTATGTTTAATTATGTACTATATTGAACTGTAGTAGTAATTTGAATGTTTTATTAATTAAATATAGTATCTTTAAATTCAATAAACTGTTTTAAGAAAACAGATGGTCATTACTCTATTATATACCTTTGGTTTATTTTTATATTCCAACTAAGAAACCAATTAATACTTACTTTCTTCAACTATAAGGTATAATAAATTAACCAAGAAAATAAACAGTGAGAAAGAAGACCTAAAATATATAAATTGAATATTTTTATCATATTTAATTTAACATAATTGTATTTATTCAGAGTTTTTTTCAATAATTAAAAATAGTTATAAATAACATAAAAAAAGAAAAATTTAACATTAAAAAGTTGATAATACATCAAACTTAACAAATCCTCGCATATACTTGTTCTGCGATACTGTGAACATCAGTGTCATGCTCATTCTTTAATAATGTTGAAAGTGCAAATTTTATATCTTGTGAAGATGAATGAAGTTTTCCTAACGCAATTAAAGTACTAATTCTAACATTAGAAATAGGATCGTCTAACATTAAAATTAAGTTTGGAGTAACTTTTGTTGAATATTGTTCATTTCCTTTACTTACAGCAACAAATGCATAAGCCAAACTATACATTATTTATTTCCTTAAATTAATATTTTAAAAATAAAAGAAAAAGTAACAAACGCTTGTCGTTGATGACAATTACCTTTTTGATATGTCAAGAATTGATTAAATAATACACTTCTTTTACTTTCATTTTCTTTTAAATAATTTTCAACTTCCTTTAAAGCAACTTCTCGAACACCAAAAAATCCACTCATTGTTAGTTTAACAAGTACATCATCATAAAATGACATTGTTCTTAATATTGGAAGATGTTGTGCAATACTAACTTTCACTCTGAAATACTTTTCTCAAACAAGATTTCTAAATAATTCACTAAATCTCCCAGGATCTAATGATAATACATCACAAATATATCTTCTCATTTCACTTTTAATACCTGCACTTTGATCATTAGCTAATTTCTCAAAAATATTAAGTAAGATATTTTTATTATGTGCAAGATCAAATACTTGTTTAAAAATAATATTAACAGTATTTCTCATAATTTCTTCTATTGAATCACAACTCTTTTCCATAAGATTAAGAAAATATTCTTCTTCTTCAGGATATAATTGAATAAGATAAGGAATTATCTTAATAAGACAAACATCAACATTATCATTAAAATTTGTAAGTTTTCTAAATATATCAATAAAATTTAATTCTTTCATTTTATATTGGATTCTTTCATTTCTAATGATTGTTGGTAATATTTCAATACATCCAGCAATAACTTGTTTTTGTTCATCATGAGTAAGTTCAATATATTGATTATATACATTATCAACATCTTCATCAAAGATTTTATCAATTACATATTCCATTGATCTAACAAATTCTCTTCTAATAATCCATGCTTTATCATGAGGGATTTTTAAATAAATTTTCATAATATATTTTTGCATTGCTTCTTTGTTAAATTTATTACTTGCCAAATAACAAATCATTCTAAGTGCTTCTTTTCTATAACTATATGTTTCATTTCCATAAAATATTTCAATACCAT